TCGTTTATATATTTTTTATTAACAGGATATGAATCACTTTTAGATCTATAGAGACCTTTTTGAAAAATCAGAATTTAAAATATAATTCATCGTTATTTATGCGCGTTAATTTTTTCTTTATTTTTTTTTTTTTTGTTTTTTATTTTCCAAATGGCTACTCGTAAAATAAAATGACACTTTATACACCTTAACTTCCGGTGTTGTCGATTTGATATATTTGACTTTCGATTAATTTATGTTTCGTACATCATATATGTTAATCGAAAATCGATTGTGAAAAATGATTTTCGACGAACAGGATAGATCTTTACAAGTGAATATTCAAATATTCTTAAAGAGCTGTTTATATGAAGAAAAAGAGAAGGGGAGAAAAAAAAAGAAAAAAGAAAGAAAAAATAAGAAAGGAAAAAAAATTCTGATTTACGTCAAACTCATGCTCTTGTAGAATCTCGTCGATCATATTGAAGTGTTTGTGATCACGTATAACATAAGTACTTGATTTGTGTTTTCAGTCATCGATTGATCACGTTCCGATTAATACTCATCGTTATTGCATGTTTCCCGAGTCCATTCGAAATGATCGAACGAATATAAATATTTAATTTAAAAAGTGAATCAATAATTCTTGATGTCGTAAATATTCATTTAAGTTAATTTCAATCAGAATAATACGATATGTATTATATGATTTGACTCATTTTATATATATATTTAAGAATATATATATATATATATATATATATATATATATATATATATATACATTCTTCTTTTTCTTATCATCATCGATAAAACTAATTTATGATAACAATATATACATATATATAAAAGTAATAGTAGTAGTAGTAGTAGTAGAAATGAAAGAAATAAAAAAAAAAGAAAAAAGAAAAATATATAATATTACTTTGTGATTAGAAAATATATTTCTGTATGATTAGAAATAGAATTGTAATTTTTTCGGATTTAGTTTTCTAATGAAATATTAATATGCGATATTAAGAAATGAGTCATCGTTGTGTCAGAGTGACTATAGTAATCTTAAGCTAAGTTGACGTAACTTAGCTTGCTAGTAATCGATAGAAACAAGAAGTTAATGAAGATAACTTTTTTCTTTCCTCTTCTTTTCTTTTCTTTTCTTTTCTCTCTCTCTCTCTTTTTTTTTCTTTCTTTCTTTCTTTTTATATCAAAGTGTAAAACATCAAGGATCACTCGAGCACAAACTTTTTTCGCCTTGCTGTTTTTCTTTTGCGAACGAATAAAAAATATCTTATGAATCTTTCAACAGGACTTATTTTTCTTTCTTTCTTTCTTTTTCTTTTTTTTTTTTTTTTTTTTTCTCTTCTTTCGCCTCAATAAATTTTCGCTCCGGTACTACGCTCGTTGCAATTTTCATTTTGATTTTGATCTGCGAAGTTTATTATGTATGCATTTCGCTCGGTGGTAAATAAATGAAAAAAGAGCCAAGAGAGGGAAGATTAATATTTTGTTTGATGTCACTTAAAAAAAGAAAGAGAAAAATTAAAAGGAAATAATTTATGGAAATATGCGAGCCCTCATCGTATTTCGTTATCACGTATCTAAATATACATGCACATGTACACATACATAAATATGCGCGCGCGCGCGCGCTCGCGTGTACACGGATATATAAATAGAAGAAAATATTTGTTGAAACGGAAGAAGCAGAAGAAAGTTTTCGATTTTGCTTATCAAATTATTCGTTTCAGCTTCGCAGCTTTAGTTTTGTATTGACTTTTTTTTTGCGAAATAAAAACAACACTTATATATCGTACAATTTCACTTTCGCGTTGAATTCGATATTTTTTTTTTCCTTTTCGCAATTTTATTTATTTATTTATTTAGTAATTCCACACTCCCCCCCGCCCCATTGGAATAAGTTACATGCGAAAATCGAATCTTTCGAGTTTCGAAAGAATAAGAAGAAAAGAAGGAAAAGGGAAAAAAAAGAAAGAGACAAGTGGTACTCGGATACATCTTTAAATCTCGTAGTTAATTAAATATGCCACGAATAGCATAAGATTGTCAGTAGGTACTTAAGCTAGGTTCTCTTTTTTCTTTTTTTTTCTTTTTTTTTTTTTTTTGGATAAAAATACACGATGACTATGCACGAAAGTACGTCGTTGTTATTTTTTATTACATATACAAAATCTAAAAAGAGTAGAGAGAGAGAGAGAGAGACAGAGAAATAAGATATATATATGTAGTTAGTACATAACAAAATTGAATTTCTCGACTTTATTTTTAATCTTAAATTGTTAATCGAAAATCTGTAATATTTTTATATTATTATTTTCGTCGAATGGATAAAATTTATCAACATTGATTAGAAGATTAGGAGATCGAAGAAGAAAGAAAATTATATTTAAACTTTTCTTGATAAGTGAGATTATATATACATTTATATATACGTATATATGATAAAGTGTTCGTTCTCCAACCTTCACAGGAGGTTCCACGAAAAGGTGGAGCTATCGATTTCCTTTCATGCTAAAGTAGTTTGGCCAGGTTATAATGCTTGACTACACATTTCTTTCTTTTACCTTTTATTATGTCTTTTTCTTTTTTTTCTTCCCTCCTTATTTTTTTTTTTTTTTTTTTTTTTTTTCTTTTTTTATTATTATAAACGTTCCACACGATTCATCGTGTAGAACGGTATCGAAGCGAGCAATTTTTTAGCTGAGTATTTCACAAAAGAATTTTTATTATATAAAATTATTGCTTCGCGAATTCTTAAATCATAGTGAAAGCAACAATTCTTTATAACAACGTATACTTAATTAAATATAATTTAATAATTAATTGATTGATTGATTAATTAATTAATTGATTAATTAATTAATTAAAAGTCTTAACGACGTTGTAATTGAATACAAAGGATATAATTTCAATTATAAAATTAATTTTGTTTATTTTACCATAATACAGAACATTCTCGTGTCGTCTCGAATAACGAAATAAATCTAATGGCAAATCGCATCCAACGTTTTCATCCTTGATCAAAATTTCATCTTATACCAGGATGTTGGTAACCTTGAAGTTGTAGTTACATGCCAGAGAAGACCGTATTTAGAAGTACAACGGTAATCTCAGACTCGAGACAATGAACCGGTTTTCGCAAGTGGAGAAATATCTTTCTTTCTTCTCATCTTGGTTAGAAAAGAAAAGAAAAAGAGAAAAAAAATTCCTTTATATTAGAACGGTTTTTTTGATTAGGTAACCATTACTGCAAAAAGAGAAATATAACTACCTGTAAATTGCTCGTTCGGGTCAATGAACTTCAAATTGTTCAATTCGATCCGTGGTTATATGTATATATATATATATATATATGTATTAAAAATATATTAAAACTAAATAATTATTAATTTTATCATTTCGAGAAAAGAAATAAATTGTAACAATTAAAAAAAAGTAAAAAGAATGTAAGAAAATGAATGTATTTAGGATTATTGAATTTATCCAAAGGAAAAGAAGATAAGAAAAAAATTCAAAAATTTTAATCAAACGTATATATATTGTGAATTGTTCGATTCATACGAAAAAAGAAAAGAAAAGAAAAAAAAAACAAACAGTTTTAACAAAACTCAAATATACCTATGAAATATATTTACAGGTTTATTCCATATACACAATGAATTTAAGACAAACAAATTTAATTAAAAATTAAAATACGAAGAGAGAAAAAGAAGAAAAGAAAAAAATATTTGCTGATAGAAGAAGTGAAAACTTGGAAGAATTATAAAACGTAATGTTCCAATGGAAGAATTTGTCGTTGACCCTAGGTCATTGACCTTTATATATAAATATATACATATACACACACACATATATGTATATATATATATATATATATATATACTCATATATACATAACCGTAACAGTATACCGAGAAGAGTTATCTTATTTAAAAGCAGGTTTCTGTGAACGTACTATATCGTTACTGTATATACGTTCAAAATGGAGACTGTTGTAAGCGAGAAGAGAATCCTATGAGAGAACTGGGCCTGATTTCTCTCTCTCTCTCTCTCTCTCTCTCTCACTTTAAGCACATATATATATATATATATATATCTATATGTACTCCTTCCTTTCCTTACCATTTCCACTTTACCTTGTCCGGTTTAAGACCCAAAGCCGTTCTCCAATACACAGAAGAAGAAGAAGAAGAAGAAGAAAAAGAAGAAGAAGAAGAAGAAGAAGGAGAAGGCGAAGGCTTACTATTTGATTTCTTTCTTTGAGTTCCTTGATACGTGGCCATCGCGATCGTGGCGCCAACCAACGTCAAGGATCGGCAAGGAACGATCTCTTTCGCGCCAGCTGTTAAGTTGTCGTCGTTTGCGAGTCTCAATTGGTGGTGCACGTGGTCTTCCGTCTTATCCTTCTTATTTTTCTCTTTAGTGTCACTTGAGAATAATACCAATCGTAATAGATACGATCTCTCTCCTATCTTCTTCGTTATTTCTTATTTAATATAATTCTTCGTTAAACAGTGTTTTGAGTTGTTGGATGGATAAAATTTCAAAAGGGGGAAAGGAAAAAAAACAACTTAAAAGAGAAAAATAAATAAATCAATCGAAAAGAGAGAGAGAGAGAGAGAGAGAAAAAGAAAAAAGAAAAGGAAAGATAAGAAAAATTAAATATAAGAAAAGGAAGAAGGATCAAATTAATGGTGGTGATATAGAAAAGAAAGAAAGAGGGGAAATAATTTTGACAAATGGTGTAATTCGTATTTCGTGGTTGATAATCAATGCTCGATAGATGACGCTGATAAAACGTCGAAGAAAATTGGCGGGAATACTTTGGGAAGAGCGTTTTTTTTTTCTTTTCTTTTTTTTTTTTTTTTTTTTTTTTATGAATGAATGATAAGAAAAGATAAACCTACGAATAAATAAGTAAATAAATAAAAAGGGGAAAGAAAGAAACAACGAAAGGGAAAAAGAAAATAGAGATAGAACGAGAGATATGAAAATTGAGATGTCCGAAACAACGGATAAATATTTATTATCGTCGAGATCTATGTTGCAAGGATCGAGGATTTGTCAAGAACACGATCAGCAACAGGATGATGATGATGAACATTGTCCAAATGAAAATGATCACGATTACGAATCCTTGGAATATGAAGAAGACGCTTATTATTCGAATTCTACGACAACACCAAGTTTCGATGATATCGATGAATTATGCGATGATGCCGATGAGATCTTTGTTCATTGTTGGCGTGATTCGAATGGAGAAATCGATGAAATCGTAGTGGACGATGTCAATTTCACGATTGAACCGGAACTCCTTAAACCTGAGGAAGTCGGGAAATCGGGTTTACGTGGATTTCGAAAGAAAAGATCGGTCAGAGTGATATTTCAAGATTTTTCTAAACCGTATCTTGCGAAGATCATCAACAGTCAGAATTATAAGAAGTTATTAGAATTGGTGAAAGGTGCATCGAGTTTATTAAACAAAAAAAAAAAAAAAGAAAGAAAGAAAGGAAGAAATATCCTTTCTTCACTATTAATCTTATTTTTGATTTTCTATAATGTCATTTAATTTTGACATCGTGTACTAATTTAATTCATTCCTTTTCTTGATTTTCTTGCAATAAACTTAATTGTTAATTGTTCAAAGATCAATATTAATATTTATTAAATATATATATATATATATAATAAATTATAAATAGCTTTAAAAATCATGAAAAAAATTCTCAAATCGATAAAAAGGTGGTGTGTAATCATTAAAAAAAAAAAAAAAAATAAATCATTTATCTTTTAAAATATTGAACCAGAAAATTTCGTAAATGAGTTATGATCTAATTAGTAGCCTTAATTAGTATTCACGTGTCGAAATTTTGAAAAGGAGGTCATCGGGTGTTATCGGACACGTGAAAGTTTTGCACCAACTTTGGTACTCGACATATATATATATATATATATATATATATATATATATATATATATATATACATACACATATGCATATATATGCACATACAGGGTACATATACATAGTATATAGACGTTATTAGCTATTAGAAATTGCTCGTAAATTTTACGAACGGGAAAAGAACGCTGTTAACCGCATACCATAGTTCCTTTCTTTTGTTCGAGTTAGTAATATATATGTACATAGGCCCCTCGTCAAGTATCGTTCCAACCTTCGACGTCATGCTAGTTAATCTAGTGATTAATTACAACCTGCAATCACGTACATCGTTAGTCAATATTTTCTTTATTGTTTCTTTTTCCTCCTCTCGGATGTTCTCTTTTTCCTTCTTTTTCTTATCTTTTCTTTTCTTTTTTTTTTGTTCTCTCATCAAATTCCTTTTCCAACGAGGTCGAGAGTAGTAATCTTGTCCTGTTCGTTTTTTTTCTTTTTTTTTTTCTTTTTTTTTTTTTTTTTGTTATTCTGAAGCTATAAACAACATATAAGAATAAAAAGATTAATATTATACTCGTTAAAGATAGATATCTCATAGTTGCGTAGTTTTCTTATAACGCAGAGAAGATTGTAATGCGATCGATAAAACGACAATGATCTAAGCCCGTTAGATCTTAAGACGAAGACGACGATGAACTTACGCAATAAACAAGTTGAATTTCTTCGATCAGTCACTGTACGTGACTGGGGCTTGTTGTCTCTCTCAATTTTCCTTCTACAGAGAATATAGATTTACATAATTATTGCTTAGGGAAATGAATTTAAAAAGAGAGAGACAGAGAGAGAGAGAGAGAGAGAGAGAGAGAGAGAGAGAGAGAAACAAAAACAACAAGAAAAAGAAAAGAAAAAGGAAAACAATATTAAAAGGAAAAAAGGAAAAAAGAAACGTAGAAACGGTGATCAGAATGTAGAACGCATGATTTTTTTAAAGATCGCATGATGATTTTTCAATGTATACAAATATTTTTCGATATAAATTGCTTTTATTTTCGGGAGGGTTTTTTTTTTTTATTTTTATTTATTTTTCTATTGTTCATTTAATGAGGTTCTATTATGGTAACTGATCGTGATCGAGAAATTAGATATTCTATTCTAGTTATTCGTATGTATGTTTGTTGTGTATATGTGTCTATGTGTATGTATTAGAGTTTAATGAGTCAAGGAAGAAAGTATTTTTTAAAGCGCAATTCTCGTTTCTGTTTTCATAGGAGAGGATGCCTCTCTTCACCCAGCTGGTTCTCTTTCTCCATCGGCTGACAATGCAGCGAACGAGTTGCAAGGACTCACTTTAGAGGAACAAGAAAATCAGAAAGCTATTTGGAACGCGGAACTTGCTAAGGTATATGAATATATGTGACATGGATGTCTTTGAGTTCAGATACTGGAGTACCAATTAACTGTCCTAATTAATAAAGAGAGAGAGAGAGAGAGAGAGAGAGAGAGAGAGAGAGAGACAGAGAGATAATAATAGATAATGGGAAACTTAGTTTTTATTATATCAAAAATACTTAGCCTAAAAAGAATAAATAAATAAAAGGAAAACAAAGTAAAATAATGATGATGATGATGATGATGATATTTGAGACATAGAATTTATATTAGAAAATGTTTATTATTTTGTGTTAAATAATAATAAAAAGATATTTTTATTATAAATATTATATATATATATATATAATATAAATATTATATATTATAATTTATTATAAATATTGGAAGATTAAAATAATAAACATATTATAACGTTATAATTATTTCGTGTTATATAAATAATAAAGAACGAAAGATAGTTTTATCGTAAATAGAAAAAAAATCAAATATCTTGAGGATTAATATAATTAAGTAGGAGAATATTGAATATAAATTTTAATATATATATATATATATATATACATTTTTTTTTTTTTAATAATTGCTCACGCACAATATTATAATTATATTATATTAATTGCCTTTATTATACGAATCTACAAGTAGCTTATCATTATATTAAGTAATTTTCTTACAAAAAAATAATAAAATTTCAATGAAATTAAGATTGGTGCAAAATTAAATTTTACTACTTTTACGTTTCTAATATGATATAAATCTCAATTATTTTTCCACCAATATGACTTACATGATTTATTGTTATATTTATTTATTTATGTATATACATGGTATGTGTCGTAGATCGAGGAAGAAATAAATACACTCAGGCATGTATTGGCGAGCAAGGTGAGGGTTTCTCAAGAATTAAAGAGAAAATTGGGCATCAGCGTTTGGAAAGAACTCACCGATGACGTGAATCAGGGCCTGAAGAACGTTAAGGAGAGTCAAGTGTATGTGTGACTCCTTTTGAACGCGCGCGCGCACACGTGTGTGTGTATATGCGTATGTATGTATGAATGTATGTATGTATGTATGTATGAATGTATGTATGTATGTATGTATGTATGTATGTATGTATGTATGTATGTATGTATGTATATATGTATGTATGTTTGTGTATAGAAAATCTTTCTAATACTACTATACAACTCATTTATACTACTATACACTCATTTTCATTCTATTTGTCGATATTATCACTTGTCATCATTTTATACACATACACATACATACACGAAGACACGCACGCACATATATACGCATATATACTTGACTATCAGTAGCATATAAGAAATGTCGAGCAAAAAAATCGCAGCATGATTGATTGATTTGCTCGATCATGTTTTAAATATTAGAAATCATTTATGATTTTAATCGCTTTTATTTCAAATATTTATTCATCGATAACAACATTCTTTGTTAAAATGATGCTTCCAATTCCTAAGATCATAGATTTTAAAATACGCACACACACACACACACACACACGTGTATATATATATATACACATATATTATACATAATCATCCTTGTAGCAAATATTAGAAACGATAGAGAGCTTGGCATTTGGAGAAAGCTTTAGAGCGAGTAATAGAATATCAAGGACGTTACGTTCGTGTTCTATAAATGTTTTATATATATTTTTTGTTGGAGTTCAACGATAAATTTTTATATATATATATATATATATATATATATATATATATATATATGTATATACTTTAGAAAAATTGATCGTTTTATTTGCATCGAAAATTTTTCGTTATTACTTCATTGATTTTGTTCATTTATTTATTTATTTATTTATTTATTTATTTATTTATTTATTTATTTATTTTTTTTTACGAGATGTAGAACAAAGATGTATATCTACTAGACAAAAGCCCATTACTTCTATTCTTGTCCATTTTTATTTACATCTTCTTCCTACTTTCTCTATTCAGACACGTAGAACATTTCTTTTCTTTGACTTTTGGTTGGGTTCTTTATTCAGTTATCAGAACGTTGGAGAGAAACTCGGTCAGTTCAGCAAGGCGATTACCGACAACAGTTTGTAAGTACGCAAACCATAGTTTCTGCTATCAAAGATCCAACGTTCCTTACCTTTTTTCAATGTTTCAATGTTTTAATGATATTCTTTTTTTCTTTTCCTTTTCTTTTTTTTTCTTTTTTTTTTTTTAAACATTATTATTTCACTTCACGTTATCGTGCGATATTTTCTTTCTTTCTTCTTTCGCTTGCTGCTTCCTTTCTTTTCATTTTTTTTTCTTATTTTTTTTTTTTTTTTTTTTTTTTTTTTATTTCTTTTTTAATTTTTATTTCTTCTTTTTTCCCCCAATACAACAGATAAAACACAAATCTCGCTTTTATTTTCATTTCACGTTTTATTTCTCACATGCTACTTATTATCATCATGCAAGCTTATCATTAATATTAGATTGGTATAATTTATATTTAACAATGATCATGTAAAGATCATTAGATAGTTCACATTGAAAATATAAATGAATGACTAATTGGATATGTATGTTTGAGAAGGAACGAACGTGTGTTCTGTAAAGAATCAATATTAACATATTATTATTATTAGAAAGTATGTAAATTGTATACGTATTATTAACAAGTACAAAATTAATTTGTTAACTTTTTGTCTATTTTATTTAAAAATGTAAATCAATTAATTTTGTTTGTCTTATTTAGATTCCAAAAGACCGAGTCGGTCTTTAAAAGTACAGCCGAGAAAACAACGAGCATTCTTGGTGGTTTTGGCAGTGGCATTTCTATGAAATTAGGACAGATGCGTAATTCAGATAGTTTCCGTTCTTTGGAAGAAAGAGTTGGATCTGCTTATGAAAATGTTAAGGTAAATGTATCTAGAAATATGTAATTATAATATATGCATTATAAAATATTTTATTAATTAACTCTGATCAATTAACTCTGATCTGATTTTTTTTTCTATTTTATATATCTCACGTATAATATATACATATGTTTTTTGCAAAATGATTTTTTAAAATTATACTATGTTAATAATTTTTATAAAATTATTTATCTATTTAATATATCTATTATTATTATTATTATTATTCCCATATCTATATATTAAATTATTCAAATTGTATTATATCTAAATGAAGTTGGTCTCTTGTGATATGATGGTTCAAAAAAAAAAACAAAAATGTAGTCTTTTTTCTATAGTGCAAAGGGTTAACAAAAGTTTTATGATATTTGAAAATGATATATGTATTTCATACATTTAATATTAATTTTATTGATTGTTAGACAAAAGTTGTGCCTTCAAGATCCAATTCGACGCAGAGCTTCGATGATGCATTACGAGAAGCAGAAGCAACGAGACGTGCATCAGCAGCACCATCAGCAACCAGTCCGACCATTCCCGAGGACAAACTTCTCTCTTAGAGTTGACTTTGAATTCTTTAATGGTCACCTGTCTCTCCTATTCCGCGCTACACACGCCAACGATTTATATGATATCGATCGTAAATTCTTTTATGATCGAAGACTATCTCTATCTCGCCCTATGCGCTCTATCACTTAATTAATTAATCGTCCATTGCATTTTTATAATAATCGGGAGCTAATCCACCGAATCAAGTGTACGGTTGGAGAGAACTTATATTATTATTATTATTATTATTATTATTATTATTATTATTATTATTATTATTATTATTCTTATTATTATTATTATTATTATTATTATTATTATTATTATTATTATATTAAAGGAAGGAAAAAAGGACCATGAGCCTACAAACAAAAAGAATTATGAGGAAGATTTGCCGAGCTCTTTGCTCATTGTTTTAAAATAATTACTATTACTATTACTATTATTATTATTATTATTACTACTATTATTATTATTATCATCATTATTATTTTTATTATTATTATTTTCTTTACTTTTATTATTATTATTATTATTATTATTATTATTATTATTATTATTATCATCATAATGATTATTGTTATTATTATATTTTTTTTATATAATATGATCATGTATTTCGGAACGTCACGAGCAATAATGTTATTGGCTGAAAAGATAAGAAAAAAAGAAAATTGTTCTTATCGATGAAGATTTAGGACAAAAATGAAGGAATGTTATTACGACACGTTCAAACTAAATAACGTATTATGTTTACGCGATTAAAAAATATTGAGCGTTATAAAAATGACACGTAAACTCGCAATTAGAAATGAATATTTCGACGAGCTTTTTATTTTTTTTCTTCTTTTCTTTTCTTTTTTTTTTTTTTTTTGCTTTTTTTTTCTTCGTTCAACGACCACGCGTATTTCGTTTCGTTTTGTTTGTTTCTTTTCTTTTGTGTGTGTGTTTTTTTTTATTTTCTTTGGTTTGTTTGTTTACTCGTTTTTTACTTTTTCTTCCTCTTTGGATTCTTGCATTCTTTGCATTCCTAATTTTTCTTTTTTATATCGTGAAACAACTATCTTTCTTTCTTATTTACTATAAGGTCGTTGTGATTTTATGGCTCTGACGTGACAAGTAGGTTCGTGGTCGAGATAGGTCAAGGAGCTAGTTCTTTTTTTTTTTCTTTTTTCCTTTAGTGATAATTTTGACGATTTTTTTTCTTCTGCTTTTTCTTTCATTTTCTTTTTGTTTTTTGCTGATTCATTTTCCACTTTTTTTCTTTCTTTTTTCTTTTTTCTTTTTTTCCTTCTCCGGAAATAAATATGACATTCGAAACGAGAAATTATATATTTTCTTTTTGCGCACTGCTACGCGGACACTATGATTTTTATTTTTCACTTTAAGTATATATATATATATATATACGGAGCATTTTAATATTGAAAGTATATAGTTAAGATAAATAGAAAAAAGAAAGAAAGTAAGAAAGAAAGAAAGGAAAAAAGAGAAACACCAATATACACAAAGTATATTTCGATGAGATCATCTTGTTTTCTTCTTTTTTTTTTTTTTTTTGCTTTTCTTTTTTGTTCTTCATGCACCTTAGTTTGGAGACGGTAAAATGTTAAACTAACGACGCACTTATAAAAATATTATTTTATATTTTCTTTTTCGCCGAGGTCGTTCTTTTTTTTCTTTTTTTTTTCTTTTCATTTTCCTCCTTTTTTTTTTCCTTTCTTTGGTTTTCAAACAAACGTCAGTCGTTTGAAAAACGATTATCGACTGTAATAAAACTATTTTTAACGATCGTGGACCATACCCGTCCTTCGACAATACTACTTAACTATTCACAAGTACGTGGAATGCGATCGTTCACTGCTATATACACATACATACATACATAAATACATATACATATACAAATACATATATATATATATATAAATATATATTTTATTGCAAATTTAATTTCATTATGGATATATAGCAACAAAAGGTTTGCTTGCCAAATAAAACATTTATTGTTCACGCTCTACAATTTTAAGTGGTTAAAGAAAGGAAAACGACCAAGATGGAGCGAGAAAATAATTAAACAAACAAATAAATAAATAAATAAATAAATAAATAAATAAATAAATTTCAATAATTATAAACTCTGATTAACACATCGAATAAAAGCAATTTCTAATAATTAATTTTTCTAAACGGATAAAAAGTGCGAATGATATTCTTAAGACATTGTTAATGAAACGTGAATATGAAGAAGGATAAAAAGTTATGAATTAGGAATGATTTAATAAGGGGCAAAAGGATAATAATAAAAAAAAAAAAAAAAAAAAAAAGAGAAGAAGAAGGAAAAATAAAAGAAAGCGAAGCAGATATGACAATGATTTGTTGATGATATAATGATGATATACTTACACCGGGGGGGGGGTAAGTACTGTAATAACTAAAATTACGTCTTAATTAATAACAATTTCGAAAAGGAAGCGAGCTATCCTATGTGAAGCCTTACAGACGTATATAAATATATTTTCTAACAAGCTGGAATAGATCGAGAGAGAGAGAGAGAAAGAGGGAGAGTTAAATAGAAGGAAAAAAAAAGATAGAAGAAAAAAAAAAGAGCAGAACGAAATGAATGCAGGACGAGGAGGAGAGAAAGAGAAAAAAGTTACGAAGGATATTTTCTATAGTAGCTTTTTAAAAACCAAAAAAAAAAAAAGGGGAAAAAAAGAGGAAAAAAAAAGAAAAAGTTAACGAATAATCACGGTGGCTGGGAATGCGTTTGCTTACTAAATCTTTGAGAGCGCACATACACATACACGTACACGTACACGTATGCAGATATATATATATATATACATATACATGCATACATAGGTACATACGTACGTAAGTACGTTATTCACACAATGGCGCGAGCTTCTGGAATATTTATTTAACAGAAATACACAGACAAAAAGATATACACATACCTTGTTAGATACACATCACGTATTTCACAGAAAATGCTGCCTCTGAGAAAGTTGCTCGTCAATGTTGTCCCATAAGCGTCGATAATCATGAATTATCCTATCGATATATATAAGTTAACATATATATCTTATCGGCATTGATCGTTCATAACTGCTGCATAATCTTCTTGTTCATATTGGTAAAAATAAATTATTTTACGAAAATGACAAAAGAATAGCTATGAAACATATACACACACGTACACATACATATATATATGTGTGTGTGTGTATATATATATCTCCTTTCCCACGTATCCCATATGGCATTGAAGTACTATGCTACAAGATACATGTGAAATAACTAGTAAGAAAACTATGAGAGCGTAGTACTCTAATACTCCCACTCAACTTCCCTAATTTGTATTTATTTAGTAAATATATACGACAATATTTCATTTAATTATTTTATATATATATATATATATATATATATATATATATATGTTTGATATTGAAACGTTAAATTATCAATTCTGTAATAAACAATAAAAATGATGAATGACGATATAATTATTTCTATAGATTAATGATTTTATCTCTTAATGATATTAATCGATGATTTAATGTGCCTATGAAATGATTAATCAATGATTGAAGTATTTATATGTAATATGAAAAAAATAATTCCTTTAATGTAAATTTCAATAATTATTAAATTAATGAAATATTACGAATTACATTGACGGAATTATTTCGTAGATATATTATAAATTATTGAATCGTTTTATTCATAAAAATAGATGAATCATAAATCATTGACGAAGTATTCAATGGAGACGTGAAAAATCATCAAATTATTTTTATTCTATAGCAAAATTATTTCCTTCGATTATTATTAATTTATCTTAGTAAATGTTAAATTAATGATCTATACGCATACATATGGATATATATGGATGTATCGATTATTAATTTAAAATTATTGTATTAATTAGCCAAAGGGATATTTTTTAAAAAAAAGAATTAAACATCTACTTTATTTTCATCTTGCACGTTGGTACAAAACATTTTTCGTGCGCGTATTATCATTACGCCTAAGTATACAAAACAAACAAACAAGAAAAGGAGAGAAATTAAAAATGGATATTTTTTTCTCTCTCTCTCCCTCTTTCTCTCTCTCTCTCTCTCTCTCTCTCTCTCTCTCTCTCTCTCTCCGTCTCTATTAAATCGAGAAATATGTAAGAAAGATACATTATTTTCGATTGACATGGTTTACCTTTTGAGTGAGAGAAAAGAAATTGAAGAAAGAAAAAGAAGAA